CTTCCTTCCTTCCTTCCTTCCTTCCTTCCTTTCTTTCTTTCTTTCTCTCTCTCTCTCTCTCTCTCTCTCTCTTTCTTTCTTTCTTTCTTTCTTTCTTTCTTGTAGCTAAAGATCTCACAACTTTTTCCCCCCTAAATCTATTATTAGTACTTCTTTTTATATAGAAATAACACTTTGAAAGGCCTTATTTGGTTTCTTTAGCATAAGGATCAGCCTTTTGAAAGCCCAATGATTATTACAACTACTCTGAAAAATGAAAATTGTATTTCATAGCTCACAATATTCACCATCCCCTCCCCAATACACATACCCGGTAAATGAATGACTGAAAATATATAGGAACTAAATATTTATATGCATTCAAAGTTAATCTTTACATGTCTAAGGGCATTTCTTCAATTATATGCATAATAGATACTGCAGAAACAGTGTCAATACATGATGGATGATATTAGAATGGGGGTATCTGCATCATTACATCATGCAAATTATGCAGGTACCTAATGACAGCATGACAGATCTTGCAAATATGTCATTTGTGTGATATTATAACATATATGTCCACATTTATCATCTTGTGGATGTCAGTATATGGATACAAATGTAACATATATAATACGTATATGATCAAAGACTCATACCATATATGAGCTTTGTGAAATTTTGATTCAGAGCTTTGCATTTCTACTTCATTTAGCTATCTGATTCCCTGAATGCATGAAATTAAATTGTATTTCTTCAAATCAATAAATTGATAGGTTTTGGTTCATGAACCTGATATAGTACATCAGATCAAATACATTTGATTTGATGACTGAATAAAATTACTTGATAAAATGATTCAGGGGACTTGCATACACCTGTTATGAGATTGTTATATCACATCAATTTTGATTCAAATAATCTATATCAATCAATTTGAATGAATGATTCAGATAGACTCATTTTTCTCAATAATTCTAACTGAAATGATGATTTTAATCAGCTGTTAGATGATTTACAAACTTCTGATATCTGACAGTTTCAAATTTGATTATTTTGTGTTTTTCTTCATATCACAGCCCCCAGGTGGCAGATGGTGAGGGAACTGTTCAGTTTGATGGAGAAGGTTATGCTACCGTTAGTCGTCCCATAAGATGGAACCCCAATATCTCCATGGTCATGTTCAAATTCAAGACATTTTCTTCTACTGCTCTCCTGATGTATCTTGCTACTCTAGACTTGGTAAAACTATGCTTCTTAGACTTGTGTCGTTAACATTATGGCATCTGTAAGTTCCTGTAAAGAGAAATGAAATATATGCCAGTTTCCCTGTAGATGAATTTTACAGTGAGTTTCACTGTGAGTTTTATGACTGTTTATAAAGTAAGATAATGTATGAGGACTTAATACAGCAGCCTGTATAATATTAACACTATAATACAGATCATTAATATTATTGTTCTTATTATTGCTAGTGGAACATTTTAAGTTGCATTGCCAAATAATATAATGTAATATATACAGTAGCTGTCAGCACTTCCTTATCAGTTACAGATAGGCATTATGTAATATAAACATTCACTGGAATTTATCTACTTATTTTAACAATGACTTTGGTGTTGTTAGGAAAGATGGGGGTTTTATTTTCTTTTAACAGCAAATACTACATGAGAAACTCAGTTTCGGGTCAGATTCATAGATTTCAATATATCCCTGCACCCTTAATATTCAAACTGTGGCACACATTTCTATCAGTGGAATGATTGGCACTTTTTCTTCTTTTTTCAGTGAGGGCTGTCTTTCCCAGAAGCAATGCATCTGGGTGGAGATATGTTAGGGATTGGTGAACCAAAGTGAAAACTGGATCTAGTTGCTCATGTTTTTATTTTTCCCTGGTACTCCTTTGCTTTTCTGATACCCTCTTCTCCAAATAGCAGACTGACTAGTAGATTTTAGCAAGATTTAAATTTGTGGCTTGAAGAAGACTAAATTAAATTGTGAGTTGCATATGACATTTATTATGCTGGTTTTCAATTTGCAAAGATGTTTAGTGTATATGAACATTGCATAGAATGAGGTGACTTGTAAATATTGATCCCTCCAACCAATTTATTTTCTCTTTGCTTCAAAAGCTTGAAATCTTATGTATTAAAATATATATTCCTGCATTTTAGGTTATGAAATGTAAAAATATTTAATTGATAGATAACTAAAATCAAGCTTCTTTTAAGTAGGAATTGGTACATTATATACTTGTAATTCTTTTTTTAGCTTTATAGACAAATACTACAGTTGTACAGCTAAATTTCTTCTGGAATCTCTTTCAAGAAGATATTAGACTGCCTTTTGTCAGAAATGGTGTAGAGTCTCCCGCTTGGGGAGGGGGTTGGACTAGATGACCTATAAGGTCCCTTCCAACTCTGATTATCTGTTATCTGAAGCTGAGGGATTCCAGAGTTGACCCTACTTAACCAAGGTCATCTGCATGCTCCCACCTAACAAGGCACTGAACACTGCCATCTGATTTTGTTCATCATTCATTATCATATTTCCTTGAAATGAACCTCATACTTTCATATACAGTAATATTGGAGTGTAAATATGTAATTGAAGTACAATAATTCGCTTTTACATTACCACCTTTCCTTACTTGGAACTATAAAATGTGCCTTTCTTTGTCTTGTGTAGTGCACGTGCCCACAGATTATCTTTTTCCAATAAAAACAGTAATTTGATGTCTTGTACAAAGAGGTATTTATCTTTCAGATTGGAAGAAATTTTTCCTACTGTTTCCACAATGGGTTCTTTAAATGAATCTAAATGACAATTTCTTTTTTGAATCATATAAATTTTTTAAAAAGGGGAGATTGGGGGCAAGCAAATCTTGCATAAATGGTTGGGGACTGGAGATAATGGAAGGAACAGTCACTTCATCTAAGACTGATAGATAAAAAGTGGGATTTAGAGTTATCATGCAATTGCTAAATCAACATTTGTAATTTATGCTTCTCACTAACAGAAGGATTTCATGAGCATAGAACTGAGCGATGGGCATATTAAAGTCAGCTATGATCTAGGCTCAGGAACAGCTTCAGTTGTCGGCAACTGGAGCCACAATGATGGGAAATGGAAATCATTCACCTTGTCAAGAATTCTGAAACAAGGTGAGTTCTTGCAGGGATAAGAGAAACATCCTGATTATCTTATCCAACACGGCTAACCACCTAATCATAGAGAAGATAATGTCTAAAATTGTAGGTTTAGAAAGTTGTAGAAGAAAATGATTTAGCAACTTGTTTTGCTTTCAATTATAGGTGGCACAGGTTAGTTGTGACTGATTGCAGTGTCAGATGGGTCCCTTATGATTTTGTTTTGAATGAGGTAGCTTAATTTTTTGGCATAATTCTACCTCACAGCTACCTAAATTACACACAGAAATGTATTCCAAGTGAAAAATGTATTTTTCATGCAGTGCCCCAATGTTTTTTCAAATTTCATAAAACAAATCTACGCTATTTCTTTTGAATAGAAGTCAGTTTTATATTTCTTTCATATTTTGCATTTCTTAAAATGACTTTAAAAGGCACTGAGTTAAACGCTGCTGGTGTTATCTCTCTGCTCATTAATGCAAACTAGTTTCATTTTGCTAAGTGCCATCAACTCTTGTATTGCTGGAAGTAAAGGTTTCCTTTCAATAGAAAGGATATCTTAAATGTATATTGTCACTATACTTGCTATTGAATTCCACCTAATATTTCAGAGAAAATATGGGATTCAAGCGAACTGAACAGAATTTCCATATGGTGAATGAATGTTTGCAGAAGACTTTCACATGCTGCTAACAGAAGAAAAATGTGATTCTTTTCCATCTATTAATATTGTTTGCTAAGACCTGGAATCAGGGAGAATGTTTTTTAACAAATTAAAACCTTCCTATATTTATCTCTGTATTGAGACTGAATTTTATAAAACCATAGAACAATTCCAATTAATCACATTCTGAGAAATTAAGCCAAGCTAATTGTTTTCTGAAGCATATCTGTATGTTCATATGTCTTCACTGATCTGCACTAACTTTATATATATCATGTTTCTTCAAAGAAATGTCTCAATACATTTTGGGGGGGCTACAGGAAGGTGATGCAGTCAAATAGCAGGAATTTCCCCTGTATTATTCATCTAGGGGACATCCAAGATCCCTTCCAACTATATAATTCTATGATTTTTGCATTTCTCATACCCCCCCCCCCCCCCCCCCCCCGCCAATCTTTTGCAACTCAAATCCTCAAATTGCTAAAGCAGCTTTCAAGGGACAGAAGGAGAGAGAAATAAAATTCCATCCATCAGTTCAAATAGCAGATCGTTGCCATTATTTAAATCTAAATAGATTTACCACCCACCCCGTTCTACCTAGAAATGGCAAATCATGTGACATTAAAAATGTATTAAAATAATATTTAAAAGAACACCATATCAGAAATAGGAAGGTATGGAGGCATTCAATTGCAAATCTCCTGCTATTAAATGGAGTTGGATGGTCTATAGAGAGTGAGCACTTATTTCTAAGAAAACAGCAGTGGGTGGAATGTGTAGAAATGCAATATGTACATGCAAGGCCTCCACTCATCATAATCCTGGAACAAGTTTTTGGAACAAGTTTTTTGCATGTTTTATTTGTAATTGAACATATCATTAAACACAATGGAATTCTAAGGATGAAATAAAATTGTTATGAATTGTATATTTCATTATTAAAAATAATCTTCAGGCACTGCTTCTTCTTTTCTCATATATTTTTATTTCCCTGCATGTTTGCTTTTATTTTTGCAAAGTGTTCTACTTTAATATTGTCTTTTGGGGGGAGGGGGGGATTATATTGTATCTTGGTATGAATTTGTAAGGATGCGCTTCCATTCCCAGCTGGCTTCTAACAAATAAAATCAGTGGAAGAAGCTGGATTCACTTAATGACCATGTTATTTGCTTAACAACTGCATTGATTCCCTTAACTTTGGCAAAAAAAAGTCATAAAATCACAGGCCCAACAACCACTTTATTTAGCAGCAGAAGTTATTATTTCAGTCCTAGTCACAGGTCAGGGATTATCTGTATTTTGAAAATGCAGTTAAATGGTACAAATCACACGTACCATTTGGATAAAGAAAGGAGAGATATTTGAAATATTTCCAGCTACACACCCACACATTAACATTTTTCTTTGTGTTACCCCAGCTAATATATCAATTGTAGACATAGATTCTAACAACGAAGAAATCATACCTGCAGTTTCTCCAGGAAAGCATTTTGGCCTCAATCTGAAAGCTGATGAGCCCATTTATTTTGGTGGATTGCCATCGCTGAGAAGAAACCTAAGGTAAAGTGATTTAAAATACAGTTGATTATAAAGATTCAATAGCAAAAAATTTACATTGAACAAGACTTTATTTCCCAGTATGTTAGAGAAATCTACAAAACGATAAGATATGGTCTCCCTAGCTGTAGTTCAATTCCTGGCAACTACATAGAAGGATCCATCTGTACAGTTTTCAGATTGGTACAGGAGTGATTTGCTATTGCCTTCTGCACGCTTAAAATTAGGGAATCATAGGCTCCTTTTATTCATAAAGGATCAGGCTTTTCAGCAGGGAGGCTGATAGTTTTTGAGAGGCCTATAAAGACAGTCATGTAGATCAGACTCTCCAACCTTGGCAACTTTAAGCCTGGTGGACTTTAAGCTGACTAGGGAATTCTGGGAGTTGAAGTCCGCCAGGCTTAAAGTTGCCAAGGTTGGAGACCCCTGATGTAGATCTTTTGCCCCTTCCTTTTTCCTGTTAATGCCTCCATTCATGCTAACTTTTGCATCTTTCAAATAAAACAAACAACAGGAATAAGAGTCTACTTAAGTCTGTAAAAGTGTGTTTTTCTGTTGATTTTTTGTAACTGCCTAATAGCTACATAATTGATATTCTGCTGAATATATCCCAGTGATGAATCAAAAGTCCATTTTAAGTTTTCCATAATCCATAATGGCTTATGTAATAGAGAAAATAATATCTCAAACACGTCTTTTTATTTATTTATATACCCATACACAAACATAATACACACACATACATACATACACATATATACATGCACATACACACACCACATAACAACCAACACTTGTTTTTGAGGTTATTAACATGGTAGAGAATAAGCTTTACCAGGGTGACCTGATTTGACCTTCATTGTTTTAAAGATAATGAGAGTACCTTGCATAGGCCTATAAAGTTCCTCTTTGTAGTCTTTAGTTGACACTTTGCATTGTATGTATACCTTAGATTGGCCCCATATTTTGTTTAAATATTGAACAAGCATGCAGGTTCCTAAATTGTTGGTTCCCTCTCCAGCCTGCCTACCCACCCCACATAGTGAGGACTTAAGAGAAAGATGGATTTTCCAGGCTCATCTTTCAGTAGTGGCATCTATTCATTTATTTTGCTTCCTTATGTTGCTAAAATATTGAGCCTTACAATAGACCTTAACAAATAAGAACATGTGCTGACAAAAAAGGCATCTGTGTGTATAAAGAAACTGACATATTCCTGTTCTTTCTCAACCTAACTCATTTTGAACCATGTTTTTTCCCTGGGAATCATGCATCAAGAAGTTGAGAAAGGACATACTATATAACTTGACCGTATTTTGATAATGCCTGTAACAGATTTTTTTTATTAATTTACATCAGAATTCAATACCTGAAATTCCTGCCTATTTGTAAATTATTTGTATAAAACACATTTTGTAGGCTTTCAGTTCTGATTCTGTAGGAAGATGTATAGGTATTAGAATTTATTAGATATTTAAACTGTTCATAAATAAACTATGGAACCTTTCTGGATGTTTTTTTAGAAAAATAAATGAAATAAAGTTCAAATACTGTAAAATCCAGATATTTTAGTTATAGCCACTTTACCTTTATAAATTAATCATAATAGACATAAAATCTTCTTATCCTTGTACACAGAGATCTGGAATGAAGAGCAGCAAATCCAAATAACCTTCTGTTGTTTAATGGACCTAACAATGCAGTTATTTATTATTTCCATTTGCTTCTAATTGGCCATATGTCTAAGCTCTTGAGTTCCACAGAAAATCTGTTGAACAAATGATTTCCTGCCCATTTTCAACAGAAAATCAAGAAAAATAAGTGTTAACCAGCTTAATACACACCTTTATGAAACAAAAACAGAAAGTATCTGAAAGGGAAAACAATGGACTGAAAATCCCAGATCTTCCCCCTTTCACCAGCTTCCTGTCAAATGCAGCCCCCTGACTTCTGCAATATACAATAATAATTTTTGAAATGTGACTTTTTTCCCCAAAAATTTTGTCTGGCTCTGCAGATCTTGGAATGAAGTGTCTCCATGGCTTTCCAAGATGCCAGCTGATAAAATAGCCCATTAATTTCATCTGTTCCTTTAAGAGAATCTAACTGTAAAAGATGACTAAAGGTCTTTCATTTGGCTTTCTATTCAGTGTGGTTCTTACATCTCCCCTTAGTCTTATCTTCTCAGCCACAGAACTGAATCTCTCCTGCTCCATTAGTTAAAATGGCATAGGAATCAAAGGGATGTGAGGGGTCCTTGCTTTCTTGCAGACGTTTCATTACGCTAACTAGGTAACATCATCGGTGCTAGTAGTACCTGACTAAAATGATGATGTTACCCCTCATTTCAACCCTGAGCTACAGATATTCTCCTTTATCAGTTAAAGGGATGTGTTAGGGGAAAGGCAGCATAGCTGTTGACTTTATTCTCCAACCTCACACACCAATCACATGCTCCAGTGGTTCTCAACTTGTGGTTCATGCCCCTGGAGAGCCACAATGTTGTCACACGGAGTCCATGAAGTCTTGAAGAAATGTTATTATTTAAATCTTGAGTTAAATCTTGGGGTTCCATGGCCATGGTCCATAGCCCAAAAAGTATTTAAAAGGGATCCGTGTTGAAGAAAGCCACTGACAGTAGCTTAACTCTACCTTAATCTTAGCGGTGAAGTCGTGCCAGTATTTTGGCCAGAAAATTCCTGCGCTCACTCTCTCTCGCACTCTCACCATCACCACAAATGAGCTATTCCTGATAGTGAAAACAATATAAATAAAAACAATGGAAGAAATATACAAGCTAAATAACAATAAAACAACACCAGAAAAGCAAGTATGATTACAATGCTCCCCAGAATACATTTTTTCTGAATGAAACTGGGGAAATGGGGCGGATGGCCAGTCTGAACTCAGCTGAAAAACTATTCTAGAGATTGGTGCTACCTCTAAGAAACAGCAGTTTCTGGGCTCAGCTCCCTTTAGCTCTCCAAAATAAAATACTAGAAACAATCTCTCCCTTGGCCAATTTTGGTTGGAGTAAGGGGTCTGTCCATACCCTGATGCCAAGCTATAGTGGTCAATAAATGGCACTTTTAATTGAACCTGCAAACTAATTGATAGCAAGGGCAGGTTTCTGACCACAAGTGTTCTCAAAGACAAATACTAGTTAACATGTGGTTTACTGAATTTTGAAAGTAGTATTGAAGTGAGCTTTAAATACAATTTTAAGTAAAACGCATTGCAACCTACCTGAATGGTAATATGGGTATGAATCACTGTAGCAAAATCCTCAGAGCTGGGTGGCACAGTGGTTAGAATGCAGTACTGCAGTCTACTTCTGCTGCCAGCAGTTTGGCAGTTCGAATCTCACCAGGCTCAAGGTTGACTCAGCCTTTGACCCTTCCGAGGTGGGTAAAATGACTTATATATTGCTTCATAGTTTGTTGGGGGCAATAGGCTGACTCTGTAAACACATTAGAGAGGGCTGTAAAGCACTATGAAGCGATATATAAGTCTTAAGTGCTGTTCCTATTGCTATTCCAGCTGAAGATGCAAAAATAGTATCAGAAGCTGCAACTCTAAAAAGAGCCCCAAGATTTACCATGCTTATATCAAGTTGAGAAGAAAAAAAAACTAAGCTTAGCTAAGTCCTGCCTGAACTTTTGCTTTGTCTGGGCATGTAATTCCCTACTCACAAAACAATGACACATGGGAAGTTATTTAAAAGAAATGTCTCGACTCCCTAAGACTATATTTGAACCTATCTAAAAAGCTGTATTGTTACCCCCCAAAATGTCAAAAGTAATAACAAAACTGTTTTTTTTCTTCTCCCTTTTTTATTTTTCTTCTGTTTTTTTTAAAATCTAGTATGAAATCAAGGTAAAAGACATAACATTTAAATCAATGCTTGCATGCTGTAAGCTTTGCATGGGTTAAGTGCCGCTTGCAGCCAGTGGCAAAGCAAAAGCAATTTGTGTATGTCTTTATTCCAGCTGCTGCTCTGGGGCTTGCTCAGTCGGCAACCGATCCTGCTGCAGCATATCAAGCTACCCCCCCCCTAAGTGCTTAACGGAGGCCTGCCCCATGCTGAGCGCAATCGCAGCAACAGACACTTAGCTATCATCTTCACACAGCGGTTTACGTCTCGCTGTGCTGAATTTCTTTTTTTGTTTGCTTGTTTGTTTTGTTTTCATTTGGTTTTTTTCCCTCCCCTTATTCCCTTTAAATTAATTAGATCAGGATCCTAAGGAAAGGAAAAGGTGTAGCTATTATGAGTTATAATAATAATACTATCTTTAAAAAGCAGTCCATGTTGCAACTCAGTGTGGGTTAGATTAATGATCCAACTTAGTTGGAGGAGTGAGGATTTGAAAACATGGATAGATTTATTTTTTAAAAAAATCACTATCTAACCTGGTCTTTTCAAGCAGGTGTATTTGAGAAGGTTGAGACAGCAATTCCCTTGATGTGAGCCTCAGTCCAGTGCTTCTGGAAATCATCAGTCTAGAAGAACTAAAGTCTTATATTTTCTGAAAGCCTAGAGGAATGTCTCTTTCAAGAACATATCTTTTTCTCTGTGTGGGTTAAGGAAATGTCCTTTGGGATTGAGCTGGATAAAAATCCAAATAGTCCAGCAATTTGTGTTGAACAGAAGACAAGAGTGTATGCTTGTTGTAAGGCAGATATAAAGCTGATCATTCTCATTCCCCTGTTATTTTTCCCTGTGCCTCATGGGTTGCAGAAGACTGCCTTAGTAGCTAAACATTCTGTTTCGCAGTCCTGGTAATAACATTCAGATTTGTTTCCATTGACTCTAGAAGCTAAAGCCTTGTCTATCATGGTGGTCTAGAGGTGGAACTCTCAAGTCACAATCATGAGTCTGTGAGTTCAATCCTAGGTAGAGGCTAATATTTGGAATAGATTCTCCTGCTTGAGTAGGGGTGTTGGACCGGATGACCTCCAAGGTCCCTTCCAATTCTGTTATTTATTCTATGTATAGCATTTTTAATTAACTTCATTTTTTTCATTGCTTCAGAACAAAACCTCAAAATTGTTTCCAAGACTTCCTTTATTCAGATGGCCCCTATACATGTGTATGCCAACATTAGAATTTAAGTTCACATGATAAGCCTGAGGACAGAGATTTTCTTCTTACCAATGTCTGTAAACTATGCTCTGTTCCTTTAAATAAGTAATTAAGGAATACCATGGCCTCTGCTTAAAAATGAACCATAAAATCAATTTTGGAGTTATTTCAACATTTCAATTTGGTTCAAGTAGATTTTCTAGACCAATGTGATTTTTGTGAGTTGATTGTGAGTTCCCAATTGGATTTGACAGCTTCATTCAGAACAATGATTCATTGAGGGATTTGATCAAATCACTTCAAATCAAATTTCTGAATCTGGACATCATACAGCCAAGAAATATTTTGTCTAGAGGGAAGTAAAGTTGTTTATAAAAATGCAATAGATTTTAAGAAGCAGAGAAAAATTCACATGGGAGAATAATGTTTGACACTAAGTTTAAATTAAATTGTATTTATTATTACCAGATCTGTTTCTCTAGCTCTGCTGGTGTCCACAGGGAAACGAGAATAAACAGCATGCAAATTACCCAATTCTTACATTAACTTCAGTTGGTAAAATAGAATAGAATGGAGATAGTTCCTTCTTTTTTAATCTAAACTTCTGGGTATTGCCAATTTTTGAAAGATGGATGCTACGCTTTGCTGAGATGGCTTTAGCGCAATTAAAAAAAAGAAAGCCTACCAACAACAATGAAGTAAAATTTTAAAAAGGGCTGTTTGTTGAACATTTAAGTTGTTAAATTAGAGTGTACTGCAATTCTGTACATATATGAATTGTGAATGATTGTGTTTCATATCTAATGCCAGATATTAAATTCTTATTTTCACAAGCATCTTTCACTTGGATGGTAAGTTGGTAAGTGTATAAGTTATCTCAGGATACCTCCATCTTCTGTAGCCTATCTTCTGTACAAAAGCCGATACCAATCTATTCATTTTTCCTGGCTAGTGGAGTGGTAACATGGTAAAGATTGATAAAAAGTCAGAATTAATTGGTCCTGGGGTGGAGGGTCTTTGGATTATTGCAATGTGTTGCTGTTGTTGCAAGTCTGAAGTTAGATTCTTCTATTCAAGACTTCAAGACACACAGTAGAATGCATTTTAAATTACATTTTTGATTTGTGATATAGCACAAATCAAATGTAAACATTAAAAGTAGCAATATATTTTCAGAATTGCACAATAACGGTGATCACATGTCAGGCTAGTAAATTGTTAGAATATCTTTAACTGGAAATTCTAGTATTAGAAAAATAAACATGGGCATATTTAGATTATGGGAGGCAAAGTATGCTGTATGTACTGTATAACCGAATGAACATATGTTATGCCTCACCTGAATCCACAGGTGAGCAGTCACAATTCTGAAGTTCCAAAATTATAAGCAACTAAAAACAAACCCCAACCAAGATAACTGCTGAAGTTTTTCCAGTCCTCAGCAGTAAATCTGATATCTGTTTGGCAAACCTGAAGTGCCTATAAATCACAATGCCTCAGAGAATCTTCACAAGACTTTCACTCTAACAAGACACTTTGCTTCTGGCAAATTTCTCAAGCCAATATGTTTCCTTTTATCCCCTAAAGGGGGCGTGTCAGTCTCATTAATCACTGGCTTGACACTTCTTTCCCAATTGAGATTGACGTCTCAATCTCTGTCTATTTCTCACGTCAAGCCAAGATCCCTCAAACCCCTCCTCCTCCGCACTTGAAACCACTTGCATGTTTTCCTGATTAACTGTTCCCAGCTGCTGTGTAGTCAGAGAGGGAGATTCGGGGAAATTCACCTCCAATAAATCAGGTTCGTCTCTCATAACTAAGTCCACTTCCTCATCCTGGCTGCCCTCAGAATCACTCAGCAATGCAGGCTCAAATTTCACTGCCAAATCATCTTCGCTCGAGCTCACATATGCCAATGGAGCAGATTCCAATCCCGGAGTCACAACAACATAAATGTAACTCTGATCATACTTAACTCTGGTTATTGGTAATCCTCAGGTTATGATAGCAATTGGGACTGTAATTTCCATTGCTAAAGGATCCCATCCTAAAGTGTAATGTCACATGACTGCATCGCTTAGTAGTTTCGTCAGTCCCTATTGCTATTGTCCATATTGTCTGTATGGTCCTAACAGCTACAGTCATTAAGTGAAGACGTCATATGATCATATTGTGAGAAGAGGTAGGAGTCCTAAGTTAGCAAGTTGGTAGGCTATGGGCAGGAGGGCAGGGACCAGGGACAGGTACTAGGAAGTGCCTTTGGATGCCACTGGCAGGCTGGGGGATTAGGGCGCATGGGTGGTATTGCCATGGGTGAGCATAGCAAGCACAGGCAGAAGCCACAAGTAGACACTAGACAAGTTTGGGAATAGGATAACCCACCACAGCCAACTCACTGTGGCCAACTCCCCATGGCAGACAGTAAATTGTCACTGTGAGACAATTTAACAATTCTATTTAATTATTTAAAATAAATAAAAAATTTTAAAAAAATTGCAATTCACATTTCATTCTGTCCCTCCTTTTGCATCCTTTCTTTAATTATTCTACGACATCATTTCTTCGGTATTAGTGTAATTCTTCTCCTGCAGTGAGTTGTCTTGTAGCAAGGTGACCATGGCAAGTTGGCTGTGGCGAGTTAGCCATGGTGAGTTGGCCATGGTGAATTGTCATAGAACCAGCAAGTGGATAGCAGAAATGCCAGCGGGGGTTGCTGCAAGCAGGAGAGTGGTGAGTGCTGCCACCCCAATGGGAAGGGCCCAGGGCCATGAGTCCCCCATGTAGTACAGGTAATCCTCAATGTATGACCACAATTGAGCACAACATTTCTGTTGTTAAGTGAGATGTTTGTTAAGTGATCTTTCTTGCTGCAGTTGTTCAGTGAATCACCGCAGTTGTTATGTTAGTAAGCCAGTTGTGAAGTGAATCTGGGTTCCCCATTGACTTTGCTTGTCAGAAAGTCATAAAAGATGATCGCAGGACACTGGGATATAGCAGCCATCATAAATATGAACAAAGCATCTCTGTTTTGAACACATGGCCACGGGGATGCTGCAAGAGGTGTAACTGTGAAAAATGGTTATAAGTCACTTTTTTCAGTGCTGCTGTAATTTTGGAAAGTCCCATGGAAATGTCCCTGGCTTGTGGCCTAGTGGGAGGATTTCCTAAGCAGCAATGATATGTAAGTTGAGGACTATTTGCACACCACTGCTGCCTAGGAAATCTTCCCAAATGGCAACAAACCAGGGATATTTCCATAGTGCCTCCCCCAAATAGAATGGAATAGGATAGGATAGGATAGAATAGAACAGAACAGAACAGAACAGAACAGAACAGAACAGAATAGAATAGAATAGAATAGAATAGAATAGAATAGAATAGAACAGAATTCTTTATTGGCCAAGTGTGATTGGACACACAAGGAATTTGTCTTGGTGTAAATACTCTCGGTATACATAAAAGAAAAGATACATTCATCAAGCGTCAAGAATCATAAGGTGCAACACTTAATGATAGTCATAGGGTACAATAAGCAATCAATTCATACTAGGAAACAGTCAGTATAAATTGTAAGGACACAAGCAACAAAGTTACAGTCACACAGTCACAAGTGGGAGGGGATGGGCGATAAGGAATGATGAGAATATTAATAGTAATAGTAGTGCAGACTTTGTAAATAGTTGGACAGTGTTGAGGGAATTATTTATTTAGCAGAGTGATGGCGTTTGGGAAAAAACCATCCTTGTGTCTAGTTGTTCTGGTGCGCAGTGCTCTATAGCGTCATTTTGAGGGTAGGAGTTGAAACAGTTTATGTCCAGGATGTGAGGGGTCTGTAAATATTTTCACAGCCCTCTTTTTGACTTGTGCAGTATACAGGTCCTCGATTAAAGGCAGGTTGGTAGTAATTGTTTTATGGCTGAGATAATTGGTAGTGATTGCAGGCAGCCATTTCCCCAAAGCTTCTCACACAGAGCAAGGTGGCCAAGCAGCAAGCTGAAGCATGGGCCTGCATATCATGGTCAGTAGAGTCCCTTTAACAAATGGCTTGAGGCCAACTAGCATCAGTCAGTACAAGTGAAGGGAGGCAGGTGAAGATGATGAAGGACTCAGTGGGGTGGGGGGGTGTCATAAATGTGGGCCAGTCACCAACCACCCAAATTTGATCATGTGACCAAGGGATTGCTGTGACAGCTAGAACTTTGAGGACCGGTTGTAAGTTCATTTTTTCAACACTGTTGTAACTTTGAACAGTGATTGAACAAATGGACATAACCTGAGGACTACTTGGGACTACCTGTATTTTAGTCATTATCATTATTCTGGTTGGGATTTCTCATGTTTGTTTCTTTAGCCCAGTTTGTAGTTTGTTTTAAAAACTAGAAATCCCTAAATCATTATAATCAAGGGATACATTTAATAACAGTGTTCCTTAAATGCTTATATCACATAAGACACTGTACAAGAATTAATTTAATCCTTCGCCATTATATTCTAGAAGAGTAGCAATTCTTTGTAGAAAGAATTTTGTCCATGTGTATTATAGTAGCAATTCATGAGTTCAGTGGCTCGTAAGCCCATGAAATTTTATTTATCATGAATGTGTTGGTCTTTAAGGAAACACCTGATTCTTTGAATTGGACCAGTATGAAAATCATATTCACATGGTTTTATAGAACAATTCTTTACATCCTGGAATGTTTCTTGAAAATAACTCTATTTTTACTTTATATTGACAGACCAGAAGTAAACACAAAGAAATATGCAGGCTGTCTCAAAGATATTGAAATTTCCCGGACACCATATAATCTTTTAAGTAGTCCTGACTATCTTGGAATTACCAGAGGGTGCACATTGCAGGTTAGTTTTTGAACTCTCTGTGTTCTCCTTGAACAAGTTAAAACTAGTAATTTACATTAGCAAACAGCTAAGTTATAACTTGCACGGTACTAATTAAGAAAGGAGAAACTTACCTTGCAATAAATTTTTGTATAAATTTCTCCTTCTCCTTTCACAAGTTACTATATATTTATTGTATTAATTATATGAGAGATTTCCACTACAACAAATTGTATTATATATGTGGGTTATTTATATTTTACACTACTTGCACTAAGGTACCTAAGACAATATATATATATGGACATTTCAAGCAGAGTTGCTAAGGACAATTCTTAAATATATTCTACAGTAGTATATTGGACAAACTAAGCCGAACTCATATAACACTAGTTATTTAATAAAGTGAAATAAAGCACTTTAATATCTACCAGTGTGAAAAACAGTTAAACCACAAATCAAGCCTTGAATAGTTTATCGATGAGTTGAGCTCAGTTAACAAGCTGAAATGCTAATAATAATAATAATCCAGTGACAAGTAAAGGAGCTTGACTTTGAAGGGGGAAGGAGAAAATTAAATCCATGTGTGTATAATTTACAAAAATAGCATAAAAGATTAATAGCATAGAAATCAATTAAATCAATCACATAAACAATTACGTTATAATGCAGATTTCTGTTGAGTTACATTGTTTGCTACCATTGTTTCAGTGGTAAAATTTAAACATAGATTTCCATTGCGTCTATTCCATCAAACCAAAGTTTCATTACAAGTATTCCTTCATTTTCAACTGTACATTTAATGACGGTTTGAAATTACTATGGTTTCAAAAAAAGTGACTTACCTTCTTTCTCAAGGTTGTAACTATTCTATCATCCTTGCAGTCATCTGATTGCAATTTGGGCATTTGGCAATTAGTTCACATTTATGATGGTTGCAGTATTTTATGGTCATTCATTTGATTGCAGTCATGACCTTCCCAGCCAGCTTCCAACAAGCAAAGTCAATTGAGGAATACCTTTGAATTCACTTAATGATCGTATGATTCACTTGAAGACCATATGAATTGCTTAACAACCACAATATTCACTTAACCATAGTAAAATGTTATTAATATCACGTCCTGTCATGCGATGGTTTACTTAACAATCACATCACTTAGTGATCAAAATTCCCAATTTTGGCCATAAACCAAGGACTACCTATATATGGCAACTAGGGACTTGGATATCTCAAGGACAATCACTTTTCATATTCACCAGCATATAAGACCAATCTCATATACCTCTGTGTTGTTCTGCCATCTAAGGGTTCCTCCACCATTACCTTAGCTCTGTTGGGTTCTTCAAACCATCGCCATATGGCAGTCCATATACATTTTTTGAATTTTACCATCCAAAGTTTGGAATTAACTTATTAGGAGTTTTGAGAGGAACCATCTGATATCATACCGTCCTTGAGTCCTCTTCTGTGAGGTAGTTAATAGGACAACTTCTATAATACTGGTTATCAGGGCTGCCACCTAGCCATCCATTTGTGCCTTGAAATTCCTTACTGAAGCCTTCCCCTGTCACATCTTTCACTAGTTCTGCATTTACTTTCCTTCTGAACTCCTGTGGCATACCTGATTCCTGTTCTGGGCAAAGGGGGAGGGAGAGGAGAGTAATTGACAAGCTAAGAAGAGGAACATCAAGGGAATGCCCAACTACTTAATAGTTCTCTGTACTGAGGACTTCAAAGGTATAGCACATTTTTGGCAGCCATCTGCCAATCCTAGATATCCACGACCAAAACTAATAGGATACTGGAAGAAGCTTCACATAAAAACCTAAGCCTAACAAATGTTTTCAAATGCTGAATAATTTAACAGATGGAGAAGTGCTTGTATAGCACTTTGAAATGTAAACTGTTGCACCATTTATTATGATCTGCTGTTACAAACATTTTTTATTCAATTCCTTCTTTCTTATAGAATATCTACACAGTCAGCTTCCCTAAACCTGGCTTTGTGGAGATGCCTCCAGTCTCTCTTGAAGTGGGAACAGAAATTCACCTGTCCTTCAGTACTAAAAATGAATCTGGTATCATACTCTTTGGTACTAATGAAATATCTGTACCTCCAAGAAGGAAACGCAGACAAACAGGGCAGGTATGGCATTATAAAGGGATTGTTTGACTCTTATGAGTAAATAATTGGCAGGTACATGCTCAGATTTTTGTACTGAATTATTCCAGGTTTAGTTTACAACATCCTAAAATGGAATGCGGTCTCAAGAAAATTCATTCAGTTCTTCTTCTAACAGCTTTAAATCAAATAACATTTTAATCTTTATTGTATTATTTTAAAATTATTTTAATTGACAGGATAGAAAAACAGGGTATAAATTAATTAAATAACATTTAAGCAGCTTAATAGCTTAATTGATACGGGGTTTATATTTAGAAAAGGAGGGGAAGGGAAGGGAAGAGAATGGAAAGTTTGATGCTGTGATAAAAATCATGAAACTAGAAACCAAAAAAACCCTGTGACTACTCTTGCTGCCAATGAAGGGATGAAGCCAACTGATTGCCTTTGACCAATCGCTTTCTCTGAGCTGTAGAAAGTAAGCAAGGGTGAATTATAATTATGGGAATGAATGAAATTCAATGAAGAGTAAAGCAAGGTTCTACACTTAGGCAAGAAAAACCAAATGTACAGGTGTAGATTAGATGAAACGTGGCTCAACAGCAGTAACTGTGAGAAGGATTTTGGAGTCCTAGTGGACACTTACTTAAATATGAGCCAGCAGTGTGCTGCAGCTGCCAAAAAAGCCAGCATAGTCCTAGGCTGCATTAACAGAAGGATAGAATCAAGATCATGTGAAATGTTAGTACCATTTTATAATGCTTTGGGAAGACCACACTTGGAATATTACATCCAGTTTTGGTCACCACAATATAAAAAAGATGTGGAGATTCTGGAAAGAGTGCAGACAACCACAAAAACAATTGGACCCTAGGGGCAAAACAGGAACAGTTGCGGGAATTGGGTATCTAGTGGAATGAAGGACTAGGGGTGACATGATAGCAGTGTTCCAATATTTGAGGGGCTGCCACAAAGAAGAGGGGGTCAACCTATTTTCCAAAGCACCAGAAGGCAAGGCAAGAAGCAATGTATGGAAGCTAAACAAGGAGAGAAGCAACTGACTTGGTGCTAGGAGACTGCTGGGGATTTAAACATAGCAGGTGAAGTGGGTAAGAATATCCCTTCTGACTCCAGAGAAAGTCTCTCTCTCTAGTTCCAAAGAGGATTGCACTTTCCCCGTAGAGCAGATCCACAGTCTTGAATTTGTCCTGGACTTTTGGCTCCTGCTTGAGCAGCAGATCGAGACCATAGCCAGGACATCCTCTGCACTTTTCTTGTGAGATGGAGCATATTGGGGTGGCATGGTTAAATTTGTCTTGGTCTTCTTGAATTGTGCCATTCTGCTCCTTTGGTGTATGATTTAAGGAACACCTTAGAAGAGCTGTTTAAGGAAATCTTCATAACACTTTTAGAAACTATGGAAAGAGTACCATTCAAACTCTGGTTTTCAGTGATGTATTCAGATGATACACACATATTCCCTTCCCTTTTTAATGATATCAGTACAATGATACAGATTAGAAGTCCATCATACCTTCAAATCATTGCTGGTGGCTAAAATTAGCCAGGTTCTCCAAATTTAATAACAATAATTTATTAAACTTGCGTGCCATCTAACTAATACTGTAATGGGATTTTTTTTCCCCTGTGTGCCCTTTTCTGAATTACCAGAAAAGGAGTCTGTGTCATCTTGGAGAAAATGATTGTAAAAATCATAAAATTAGGAATAAATGCTTTCTGCTGAAATGCTTGTGGTTTCTTACAGGTGTATTATGCTCTATTCCTGAATGGAGGTCGACTTGAAGTACATATTTCTACTGGAGTAAGAGATCCACGCAGGATCATTGTGAAACCTGAGTCTGGTGAATTTCATGATGGCAAAGAACACTCCCTTTGGTTGGAGAGACTTGGAGGGTAATAAATCAGAAATTAGGGGGTTCTGCATGAACCCTCTACCGCCTGAAACTGTAAGAGAGAAAAATAAAATGGCTGTGTAGTTTTCATTTAAAAGCCATCTTCTGACAGTGGTGAATTTATTACTACACAGGTTATGCTTTAGTGTAGGCATTACTGCTTCAGGTTTTCTTTAATCTAAATGGCTTTGTTTAAACTTAGACATCTGTTGTAAATGCACTGTAAATGCAGCCAAGGAATTGGATCATGAGTTAATATCAAAGAACAACTTCCAGTAAGAAGAAGCCAAAGTAACAGCAGGGCCTAACTGACCAGAAATTAAACTTCTATATATTTGTATGCTATTTATAAAATCTTACTGAAGTAAAGAGTAAGAGAGTTTGGATTGCCAAGTAAAAATTTTAAAAAACGTAGCCACCAAACCAGTAGTAACATCGGTTGAATCCCACCCCTGTAGAAGGAGGTCATGCTGGCTGCAATTCTTTTTGCAACAAAGTTAGGATATACATAAGCCACATGAAAATAAATGATGGTGGCTTAAGGAAAGAAGATGAATGCATTATGACCCAAATTAGAAGCTTCCTTTGATCATAACAGGATATATGTTATGATTTTTTGCTCTGAGAAAGTTTTTTAAACTGGTTTCTCACTGCGTGTATGATATATAGTTGAACTCTTCCATCTCCGAGTAATCTTAAAATGCTCTGAAAAAGTTTTTAAACTGGTTTCTCACTGCATTTATGGTATATAGCCGAGTTCTTCTGTAACCTTTAAAAAAGTCTGTCAGCAATGACTGTGTAAGTTTGGGAAGGAAACAAATAACCTTGCCACTAGTTTTTTTCCCCAAGCAGAGTGTTATTTTAACGCATTGCACCTTGGTAGTTTCAAAAATGCACCATATGCTAAGGTAAGATACTCTGGTCACCTGTCAACAGGTCCAATCCCCTTTTGTATCCACCATTAGTAAAATGAATACAGTATAACAAACACAGGAAATACCCAGCTGAAGAAGAAGAAAAAAATGCAACATTGATTGCCAGACCACTAAATATCCATAAAATTGTAGCTAAAGCCAGCAATGGATTTGGAAAGCTTTTCCCTGCTTGGCTGCTTCCTTCTCGGGCCCAGTGGCAAGCTAAGCCCAAGAAGGATGTGGAACAGTTCAGCCAGAGTTCAGTTCTTTATTTGCTTATACAACAGACAGAATCGTGGGATACTGAGCTCTTAATACCCTCAACCTAACAGATATGCCCTGGAAGATTTTAAGAGGTGGCTATCCAAACTCTCTTCCTCTGTCTCCTACCTAGCATCTATTGGGGGCAATATGCTGACTCTGTAAACCACTTAAAGAGGGCTGTCAGGTATTGTAAAGTAGTATATAAATCTAAGTGCTATTGCTATTGCTGTCTGTCTGTCTGTCTGTTGGAAGAAATGTCCATCTGGGTTCAGTTCCAAGTGGGAAGAAAGACACTGGAAACATGGAGACTGCTTGGAAGGATGGTTTAATGGTGGAACAGGACCACATGGTTTGAGGTCCCGGGCCAAACTGAGCACATGGTTGAGAGAGGGAGAGAGACTGATACCCTCTGTTGGACTTAGGAACTTACCTCCTGTTTCTGTGGCAAGAAATGTATCCTGACTGGTTGTCAGACTCCCATGGGGCTATGCAGGGGTACCTTTCTAGGTTGTCTTGAGTCCCAAGCTTGGTTGAATCTTGCTGAGTGATGTAATGAAGGGGCTTTAGGCAATTCCTGTTATGGCTTAATGGTTTTTTCCTGATTTGGATCTGAGTGAGGGCTAATCCTATCACCCTAGTGCTGAAGATCTTTTGTGTTGGAGATAAGATGGTCTAGTCTTTTGTCTTGTAGATAAGCTGGTACCAAAATATCTGCTGGGGCTGAGTTTCTGTGTCCCTTAAGATTTCCATTTCTCTTTTAGGGGAAATATTCTGCCTTTTAAATATTTCCTAGAATATTTCATTCTTCTAGGAGAGGGGTCATACTATCTTTCTACATATCTATCTATCTATCTGTCTGTCTATCTATCTATCTATCTATCTATCTATCTATCTATCTATCTAATCATCTTCCATGAAAATGTTACCATTTCTACTGGCAGCAATTGTAAAAAAAATTAAATTTCCAGTAGCTAAAAGTGTTCTTAATATTTCACTGATAATAAGGAAATTGATATATTGCTAGCACTACAATAAGACTAATTCAAAATCCCAAACAATACATCATTTATTTTAGCAATATAAATTGAAACAAGACTCTGTTGATAAGTTTACTTACAAGGACAGTCTGTAGTTATTACTGCTTCATATTTTTTTCTAGCAGATAGAAATACAGCCTAAGGCTAAACTCATTCTTTAAAGAAACTATTGAGGTAATTCCCCATTAGGAGAATGAGCGCATACAGGGAGACATATTTAAGAGAAGTGTTTGAATAATACACACACAGTACACAGATACACTGTACAGTAAATGTAGGTTTTTACTTCCAGACTGTTTAAGCAAAGTTCAAGATAAGCAATCCAAAATCATTCACAAGTAAATCAGTCAGTTTTTTCAATCCAGGGATAATCCAAATATCAAATTCCAGTGTCAAAAACAGTTCAGTATCAGACTTACATTAAATCCAGTAATATCAGTCAATTAGAAGAAATGGAGCAACGGCAATACTTTCCAACAGAAGGAAACAGAGATACACTCACACTGAGACTTAGACTAAGACAAACCAGGTTTCTGGCTCCATCTGATGGCCGTTTGAGAAACCACACCTAATTACAGTTTTGCATTTTCTTAAAGATACAGTTTTAAAATGTTTATCCTGGTTTATATATTTCTTTTTTTATATATATATATATAAATTTTATTGAATTTACAATTAAAAAATAACATAACAACATTACATATGCAACAGAGTGAAAAAAAGAAGAAAGAAAGAAGAGAAAGAGAGAGGAAAAGAAAGAAAAAAAACGCTCGGTCTTGCGACCGAAAAAGGAGAAAAAGAAGTATAAAAGAGAGAGAAAAAAAAAAGAGACGGAAGAAAAAAGAAAATACGTTAAAACCAAACAGATATTCTTTTTGACAGTCTGCAAGATCCAATTCTCCTACCTTACTTTAAATATACACATCTTATCACTATTTATGCTTAAATTACCCATTATTCCTTGAACAGTTTATCTCTGATATAACCAATTATACCACGCATTCCAATTATTATCAAATGCTGAAGACTCTTTATTTTTAAGAGCTATGGTTAAATTGTCCATTTCTGCGCAGTCACATATTTTCTGAATGACCAATTGATCTATAGGTAAACAGGATGATTTCCAGCACTGGGCAAATGCTAATCTGGCCGCAGTTAGAATATGAATTATTATATATTTCGTCTTTTTAGGAAAATGTTTATCAGAGATCCCTAGTAGGAAGAACTCTGGTTTGTATTCGATTTGTTCTTTGGTTATCTCCTCCAGCCATTTTCTATTTTTTTGCCAGTATTTCTGGGCTTCTTTACAGGTCCACCACATATGAAAGTAGGTTCCCTCTATGTTTTTACATTTCCAACATTTTGGACTAGAGTTTGGGTTCATTTTCGCTAACCTCGAAGGGGATAAGTGCCATCTATATAACATTTTATACATATTTTCTTTGTACGCCGCAGATTTCGTAATCTTAATGATTCTATTCCAGATCTTTTCCCATTCTGTTAATGTAATGCTTCTTCCAATATTCCTACTCCACATTATCATGTTCCCTTTCACTATCTCTTGCTCTAATTCTACCTCCAGTAAATATTTATAAAATTTAGAGATATTATTTTTATTTGATCCTAATAAGATTTTATCTAAGTATTGTAATTTGCTATAGATTCCAAACTCTTTGATATCTTGTTTGTATCTACTATGGATTTGTATATATAACCACTGATCAATTTTAAATCCCTGTTCCTGTAAGTCCTGTCGAGTTCTTAATTTTCCTAAAGGGTCTAATAAATCTTTATATTTAGTTGTTTTTGTTATATCCAAATTGTTGGGATGAACCATTGCCTCCATTGTTGAAAGCCAAATCGGAATTTTTAAATAATGTTTTTTACATATTTTTTTCCAATTAGTTAATAGTGAATCTCTAATAAGATGTCTATGAAAGTACGCCTGTTTAGTTTTCCCCACATCCCATAGAAATGCGTGCCATCCTCTCTGAAGGTCGTGCCCTTCCAAGACTAGAGTTCTTTTGTTCCGTAAATTGACCCAGTCTTTTAACCATAATAAGTTGGCTGCCCAATAATATAATTCCCAGTTTGGAAGCGCTAGCCCACCTCTACTTTTTGCATCTTGTAAGGCCTTAATACTGATTCTAGCTTTTTTCCCTTGCCAAATAAATTTAAGAGTTACCTTATTTATATCATCAAAAAAAATTTTTGGTAATTTTATTGGGATTGTCTGGAATAAGTAAAGGAGTTTTGGTAAGATGTTCATTTTGATTGTGGCAATCCTGCCCAGTAGAGAAAGCTGCAACTTATTCCAAGATTCTAGATCTTTCTTAATTTGCTGTAACAGTTTATCATAATTATTCTCTTTGAGTGATTTACTATGTGGTGTTAACCATATGCCTAAATATTTGACCTTTTTTGTTGCCTGTATCCCCATGGTTTTTTCTAATTCTTTCCTCTGGTTCTCTGTTAGATTTTTAGTCAGTAATTTCGTCTTATTTCTGTTAATCTTTAATCCTGCTACTGAGCCATATTGTTCTAGTTCTTTTATTAGATTATGTCCTTTTTCCATGGGATCCTCTAGGAAGAAAACCATATCGTCTGCAAACGCCTGTAATTTATATTCCTCTGCTTTGACCCTAACTCCTTGGATTTCAGAATTTTGTCTTATCCGCGTTAACAATGATTCTAAAGCAAATATAAATAAGAGGGGTGAGAGAGGGCAACCCTGTCTAATGCCCTTTTCAATGCTTAGTGGGCCTGTTTGTTCACCATTAATTAGT